AGGGGAAATGCTTTCAATTTTTCACCATTGAGGGTGATGCTTGCTGTGGGTTTGTCATATATAGCTTTTATTATGTTGAGGTATGTTCCTTCTATTCCTGCTTTCTGGAGAGTTTTAATCATAAATGGATGTTGAATTTTGTCAAAGGCTTTTTCTAGCAGGAATTCTTAATAATAACTCCAGGAATAGCCCTCAAGCAAGGGCTCACAGGAGTTCCTGCCCACATCTCCCAGCTCCCTCCCCATCTCTTGTGTCTGTCTTACACAGACCCCCATAACTCCCCTGCAGGATGAAGCTTTAGCTGCCCTTAGGGGTCCCTGGTGGAGAAGGAAATGGCAACCCACTCCAGTGTTCTTGCCTGGAGAATCCCAGGGACAGAGAAGCCTGGTGGGCTGCTGTCTATGGCATCACACAGTCAGACACGACTGAAGCAACTTAGCAGCTGCACATTAAGGAACAACAAAATAAAGCAGTGTGAAATAAAAGTTTATCTACTGTAGCCTTTATTTCACATATATTGATTATAATAATTTCATAAGAAATTTCTTTTTTTATATAAGCAAAATCTCTATATTCTGTATTTGACAATTATAAATAAGATGTAATTTTAGCCAATTCTCCATTCTCCATATTATTTTTAGTGCTTTACAAAATATATTGGTCAGTTAAAAATGTATTTGTATTTTAATTTCAATATTCAAATTTCAGGAATGTCATCAGTTTAAACACATACTATTTGATAGTTTCTGCTGAAAAATACAAATCTAACTTTCCCTACTCTTTTTGCTTGCTTTTCCATTAGCATATAGAAATTTTGTAAATGTTTATTTTATATAAGATAAGAACACTAACTTTCTGCCCTTATAACTTTTTCTTTCACAATAGGCATTTCCAGCATTAATCCCACATGTACAATGACTGTAAGGTTTCCAGGGACTATGATTTGAAAATTCTGAAGCCATCAGTTCATATAATCAATTATCCCTGATTTGTCATTGGTGATGTATACAATGGATGTGGATTCTCAGGCTGAAGGATGTGAGTTAAGGCTGTCATCACTGATGTCTGGTTTTCATCACCTCTTCAATTTTTATCTTTCTTATAGAAAAATATACTTTGTGTGTGTGTGTGTGTGTGTGTGTGTTATTTATAGGTGCCTCAGAAGGTAAAGAATCTACCTGCAATGCAGGTGACCCAGGTTTGATCCCTGAGTTGGGAAGATACCCTGGAGAAGGAAATGGCAACCCACTGCAATACTCTTGCCTGACAAATTCCACAGACAGAAGAGCCTGGTGGGCTATAGTCCATGGGGATGCAAAGAGTAGGACATGACTGAGCAATTAACATTTCACTTTCACTATTTCATACACACACTTATATACATACAGAGAGAGAGATACATAATTCTATATGCTTTCTACTTCAGTTGTTTAGGAGGAAGTCTAAGTATCCAGAAAGGCTTAAAAAAGAGACATTCAGTTAAATAAACTTCACATCCCTATTGTCCAGATATGTCACAAAACTAACAAAACAATTTTTGCTTTTTTCAGCTTTAGATTCCAAATAGTTAGCTACAACTGCTAATTCTGTAGGAATCTGAGAGAAAACTCCTTTTAAAATGATTTTGTTTGGAGTTATATTATAATTTGGATGCCACATTTCTGATATCTGTCTGTTAGGCCAGATTTATCATTTATACTATTTTTAAAATAGCTTTTATTGGAGTATAGTTGATCTATAATGCTATGTTTGTTTCTGCTGTACAGTTGTATATATGAAAATATATACATATATGTATATACACACACATGCATACACTCTATTTTAGATTCTTTTCCCGTATAGATCATTACAGAGAATTGAGCTCCCTGGGCTATACAGTAGGTTCTTCTTACATAATGTTTTTATAAAAATATAAATCTGCTATAAAATTGAGTGAATTGCTTTCTCAGAAACAAATATCAGTATTTTTACATGTGTTTATTTATTTACATACATGCACAACTTATTCAAAATACATTTAGTCAGTATTGATTTGGCATGATTATAAAACTAAAGTGCATGTACAATTTCAAATGTTTTAATACTTGTTAAAGTATTGATTAACAAAAACAGTGATTCTATTTATTAATTTAGCCTACAAATGAAATAGTTTTAAATAAAAAATAGTTTATTTGTTTTAAGTATTCATACAAGTATTGAGTTAAATTATTTCCTTTCTTCAAAATAGGACACATTAGGTCATTTTGTCCTATAGTGTCTGAAGACATGCTGACCTAACTTATCTCACTATCAAAATTTTTTTACTTTTCATCCTAGGATATGGCTTTAACGTGTAAACCATTGTTTCCATAAATTAACATATGGCAACACTGGCTGCTAGTAGACTGGAAACAGGAGTTGAAAATAAAGGATCTAAACCAAGGCATTAATATATATTTTTGCTCACATCTTGAGACCATGCCAACCTTAAAATAAGTATCAAGAGAGGGTTGTATTCTGAGGTCCACCAATATTTTTATTTTTGGATGACTGCACTTGTGTGGGAACACATAGGTAATTCAGGTACCTTCAGTATTACATCTTTTGATGTACAAACATATATTTATGTGTATATATATACATGTGTGTGTGTGTGTGTGTGTGTGTGTGTGTGTATATATATATATAGCTGTGGGCCTTCAGTGGTAAAGAATCTGCCTGCCAAGCAGGAGTTGCAGGTTTGATCCCAGGGTCAGAAAGACCCCCTTGAGAAGGAAATGGCAACCCACTCCAGTATTCTTGCCTGGAAAATTCCATGGACAGAGGAGCCTGGTGGGCTACAGTCCACGGGGTCGCAAAAGAGTTGGATTTGACTTAGCAACTAAACAATAACAACAGAATATATAACCATGGCAGTAGAAACATAATCTATTATTACCTTGCACAAAAGTATACTCCCTAATATGTAAAATCAATACCCAGTTAGTCAGATATTCTATTATTTTCTGAATGCTGTATCAAAATTTTACACAAAACAGTTTTTTCTGCAAAAGGTAAGGTACAGATAGATATCAATAAACAAAGGAATTGATGTTTTTCCATCTAAATCTAAGTCATTCATTCCATTGTGAGCTCATGAAAAAATAAGATGAAAAACAAAAGGGAATTCACATTTATAAAGCAGCTAATATACCCCAAATTTATCAGATTATTTACAGTTTATTTTCTTTTGCTGTGTAACCATTGCCCACCAAAATGAGAGACATTGTAAATTAAAGAGCCAGTAAAGTTCTGTCATGTTCATTTTTGGTATTCAATTCTAGTGCTTTTATTTTAATTACAAACAAGTAATTAAGAATACATGATATATTATTTTCCTCTTCAAATATAAAACCTGAAGAGAGTAAGAGATAATATCATAGCTTTAATATGGTCCCCCCAAAATGTCTCACATATGTATAGATTTCATTGTGTTTCCAAAATACAATTCTATGTAAAATTGCTGAATAAAACTATAAAGGAATTTTTTAAATACTTGCCTGAAATCCAAGGAGCTTTTCACTCGGCTTAATGTGCCTCTGAAATTCACATTCTATGGGTTGTATCACTTTGATTCCATCTTCATAAAAAACATAGAACATGTTCCCAATTCCCAGACCTTAGGAATAAAAACACATTCAAAAGTTCAAAATAAAATTATCAGAAACCTTTACGACGAAAACTCAGTGCCTGTCATATTGCTGGTGGGAGATCAATTTTGTGAAGTTGTGTAATGTTAATAAAGCAAACCATGTGAGACCTTTACCAAACGTCCAAGTAAATCTGTGATATTATGCAGAAATTCCACTTCTTCTGCCTAATGTGTACATCAGTACTTTCTTTGTAAGTCAACAAATGTTTCAGATATTTTAAACTAATTATAAATGTAAATTATGAACCCTCTGATACACAGATTATGTCTGCTACCTTCCCACTTAATTTAGGTGTTGATTTAAGATATAAAAGTACTTTCTGAATAATCATGTTTATCCTATTTCTTATTCAAGTTCCCTAGGGAAAATAAACTGTCCTTCTTTGTAGGAATTTAGAAACAAATTCTTATTGTTCTAGAAACAGAAAGACCAATTCCTCTAGATTTTGGAGAATATGTATTGAATATTTTCCAAAAATAACATTTGTAAATGTAATCCCACTAGAGGTCTTACATGTTACTTTTCATAATGATAAATTTGGGAGTTAGTTTCTCCACTTTAAAACAAAAAAAAAACAAAAAAACAAAAACTTGAATTAATATAAGGTCTTGCAAAAATCTCACTTAAATCATACTATTAATTTTTTCACACTGCAGGTTTGGGTTTGTGAAATCTTAGAAATCCATCTCACTTACATTATAAACCCACTCCTCATGGGTGCAGGATGCTACAGATTAGACACCTGAAATGCCTGTGAGAAATAATGGAGGTCTGCACCTGGGGACTTGTCACCTCTGATTACACAGCTCTTCTCTTTGTTTCCTCTGCTTCTGTCTTGTTCCAACTTGTCCAGACTAAGAGCATGTAGTCCTTCCTTTCCTGATCCTTTCCTGATTATCTCATCCAGGTATACCAGTTTGCAAACCATATTTATTCAGTTTAATTCTACACACATAATCCAGTGAGAGCATATGCCCTTTAATAGTTAAGCAATTATATTGAAATCTTGGTAGTTTGAAAACCCAAATTGCTTAAAATGTTTAACATCTGAAAACCTTTTTTAATTTTTATTTCAATTGACAATACTTGCAGTCTATGAAATCAAGACTGAGGATCCCAAGTATTTGATTTGCAAAAAAATAAAATTATTTAACTTAAGCTGTATTTTCTTTTATTAAATATGTTTCTAGCTAATTTAAAATGTCACCAGTTCTGCCTATTTGATCTGTGTCCATCTATTCCTATGATCATGAGGAAAATGTATTTGACCAGAATTGTAACTTTATTGGTGTTTATAAGTAATGAAATTATGTCTAATAATGCATATCTATTTTAATATTATTTTGACAAATCATATTGCTTTAGAAATATTTACCATTCTTACAGTTTAATACATGTTATTTTTATCAGTTAATTGTGCATTTTAGTTCCAGAATGCACAACATCACAATGAGATGTTCCTAAATAGTAGCAGAAGTGGCAAGGACTAAATTCAAGTTGTTTTTCATGAAATAAAATTTAAGACTTGTCAGCTGTTATTCATAATTACAGCTCTGCATACAGAAGCATCAATTCTATACCCAAAGGTATACAAAACTCAGTTTTCATGCAGAAAAATAATTTGTATCAATAAGCTTTTGTATAAACATGGATAGATGGTTAATGTGCGCTACCTATTAGTAACTTGCAAATTAACATGACTGGGTGTTGAAACTTATGAGCACAAGCAAGCTGTGATGTGGTGTCTGATTTTCACTTGTGTTAGTTTCTTTGTTTGATGATGATTACAAAGCACATAACATTTTTTAATGAATGTGACGCTACCCTCCTTCAGCTGCTGCACAATTCTGCTCCACAGTCAGCGATTTGAATGTGTTTGACAACTACTCCAAGTCCAGACTGTTTGCAAAGTTTCTTGAAGCATCTTCTGTCCTTTCTCCTATGGATGCTATCAATATTACACACACACACACAGACAGACAGACAGACACACACATATATGTAAACTATATCCTGTGCATAGTGCAGTCAGTGAGATTCCACTTTACTTTTGCACAGATTAAGTTTCTAGGAGTTATTTTCCTCTGAAAACCTGCTTAATCCATCCAAATTGCTTTCAACACTGAAACTGTATTTTCTTGCTTTTTAAAATATGAGTTACACATCAGCATTTTTACAGAGTATAAACTACTTTCCAAGTTAGAAGTTATTGAGAAATACAGATAACTTTAAGCAAGGTGCATTTTACTTTTTTTGGTGGGAATATAACTCCTTAGTGCTTATGAAATAGTAGTGCCAACAAAATATTATGTACAAATATGCTAAAATGATAATATAAATGAACTAGGTATCCGCCACTCTGCTAGGAAATAAAACTTAATCCTCAGCACTATTGATGAATTCCTCTCTTCCCCACCTAAACAAGGTTTATTTTGCCATTCATTTTCTTGCTAGACATATCTTATTCATCAATTATCCTTTAGATTTTAGCAGAGGAGTTTATAATCTGAATATATGATGAAGATGTATCATTCTAAATTTGCTACCATAATATTATAATTTATTTTGAATATGCTGCACAGAATAATACAAATTACCTGATGCTGGGGATCTTGGTAATTGAAGACACATGCTGATTTTTACATTAGGGGCATTCATTAGCTTTATTTGCATAAGAAGCAATAATATACCTTTTAGGGGAAGCACACTGATTGAAACCACCCAACCTGGCCAGGCACCATAGTAACTATTTACATGAGTTGTTTTACAACAGAAGCTCCTGCTAAGGAACACGGAGCTAATAAGCCACCACCAACTGGAAGAGTTTGGGAAAGGTCTAAAGGAGACACCATGTGTCCAGCCACCTCCCAGAATCCTTCTCTCTGGCATCCAGCTTGGCTGAACAAGGCGTGCTCCACCAGGAAGGACTCTGAGTCAGAATGACTGGCTAAAGACAACCCGGAAACGAATCCCATCACCATGAAACCGAGACTGTGAGCCACGTGGCAGCGCTGTTCCCCTTAACCTACTGCTCTCCACCGGGTGCCCTTTCCCAATCAAATCTCTTGCTTTGTCAGCACATGTGTTTCCTCAGACAATTCATTTCTGAATGTTAAACAAGAGCCCAGTTTGGGGCCCTGGAAGGGGTCCCCCTTCCTGCAACATACCTGTGTATGTTCAGTATAACTATGTCATTATAACATATTTCCATGTTCTAACTGTTTAAAAAAAAAATGGTATGAGAGACTGTTAACAGAGATAAATCCCATTCTGGATTCAGATAGCTCAGAGGTAAACCATAGCTATAGAACTTTCTGTTATATCATGGGGAAGTTATTTACTATGTAACTTCTGTGTTGTAATTGTAAGAAATAAATAAGATGGAGAAAGGAAAACATGTAGCCAAGTGACTTAAACTCTTACTATGAATTCAAGAAATGTTGAATTGTCCCTATTTTTGTGATTGACATTATCTCTTTGAAACANAATTACAATTCTTTCCTCATTGATGTATTGCAGTTTATTACAAAAGTTCTTGATGTAAGTAAAAGCTTTACAACTGTAGTCGTTGTAAAGTTTAGGAATATGTGCTGTTTTATCTTTTTTCATCACTTGGTAAAGACAGACATAAGTACTTTGTCTTTTTCAGGTCGATAGTTAATCTAACAAGGTATACTAGCTCAAAAAAGTGATCTATAATTTGTTTTTTCCTTGTAAGCTTTTTCTCTGCTTTGTTTTTCTTTCTATACAGAAAAGACATACACAAGAAAAGTATTTCCCAGAGGATCTTTTGATCAATACTGTACTTTTAAATATATGAGGTGGACTGAGAAAAAAAAGTCGATGTAATTTACATCCTTGTATCAATCCTTTGAGGACTGCTACACAAGAATAACAGTGCATTATGATAATATACTTACATTATGTGCTATATATAACACTATATTCCATAAATTATATCAAAATAATCATTATTTGTGATTATTGGATGAATATTTAAGCCAATAATAAAAATATTTTGTGGTGTTTGCCTTCCTCTGGAGTAAATTGCCATTACTTTAGCATTTGGTTTATGGTCAATAGCAAATTATAATGCTACCATACAGTGATTTGGTAACCAATCAAAGGTCATTTAGTAAATTTTGTGTTAAAGAATGTCCTTCATTTACTGATATCATATTATTCTTTTCCCTTTCAACTAATTCTAAAGTTATTTTTTAATGAAGAATATAGGCAAAAATAGATGGTCTGTATTGTATTTCTCACCTTGAATAACCCAACAGGGATGGATTGTCAGTTTATGAATGTTCCCATTTTTGGCACTCAGTCTCTGGAGCTAAAATCCTTTTCAAACATATAGCAACACCAAACCATCACACCTCAGTGAGATATTTATGTTTTGTTCAATTGAAATAAGAGTGACTTCCTCTTTCAATCTTCTAGATTTTTGGAGAGTGATTGTGTTAACCTTATTAGGCACTATTAATTCAGGAAGTGGACACTATCCAAACATTATATATTATTGGTCAGAATGATATTATCCAAAGCTAGTCTTAAGTCAGAATTCAATTCCCTAAACTTTCAAAGATAAGCTGAAAAAGTTGAATGCAAACCTGCATGATTGAATTCACATTCAATTATTAACATAGCAAAGGCTATATCATAATAGAGCATTTGTTTGCTATGTAGTTAATATGTACACGTGTTTGTGTATATACATATATTTGTTGTTGCTCATTCACTAAGTCGTGTCTGACTCTGAGACTTGATGGACTGTAGTATACCAGGTTTCTCTGTCCTCCACTATCTTTATAGCATCAAATTTTATTTTCACCAGGCTTTCCTAATAGTTCAGTTGGTAAAGAACCCACCTGCAATGCAGAAGACCCCAGTTCAATTCCTGGGTTGGGAAGATTCCCTGGAGAAGAGAATGGCTACCAACTCCAGTATTCTGGTCTGGAGAAGTCCATGGACTCTATGGTTCATGGAGTCGCAAAGAGTCAGACACAACAGAGCGACTTACACTGATTTTTACCACCAGACATGTCCACAGCTGAGCATCATTGCTGCTTTGGCCTAGCTGCTCATTCTTACTGGAGCTATTAGTAATTGCCCTCTGCTCTTCCCCAGTAGCATGTGGGACACCTTCCAACCTGGGAGCTCATCTTCTGGCATCATATCTTTTTGCCTTTATATGCTGTTCATAGGGTTCTCCAGGCAAGAATCCTGGGGTGGATTGCCATTCCTTCTCCTGTGAACCACATTTTGTCAGAAGTTTTCACTATGACCCATCCATCTTGAGTTGCCCTGTATGGCGTGGTTCATAGCTTCTTTGAGTTACACAAGCTCCTTCTCCATGACAAGGTTGTGATCTATGAAGGGGGTATACAAATATGAATACATGTATATGTGGATGTGTATATGTGGATGTGTATATGCACATATATCTGCAAATGGTTATCTTGTCAGATTCCTTTTTTGATTTGAAAACAGTTTTATGAGATAAAATGCTAAAACATAGCATTTGTTTTTAACAGAGAAGATATGGAACTTGTAAATGAAAATATTGACAGCTTCATCACTCTGGAATTGGCATCATGAACAGACAGTAGAAGGTGCGATCTCTCCCTCATCCACTAATATGATACTCTTAAGTCTTCTGAGCTACTCCCCTACAGCATAGAACAGTCTGGACAGTGAAATGTGACAAATCTGAGGTCGAAGGAGTTAAGAGATGACCTGATGCCTATTATTCCTTTTTTCCCCACTTTGGTGACATTATAGGTCACAAAGGTAGTCAGATAATAATGTAACACATAAACTTTTTTGTAAGATTTCACTGTAATTTTCTATTTGTACCTTGTGCTGGTTAGTGTTAACTACCCAACTAATATAGTAATTTATTTGAATAATTTCTATAATATATATATATATGTATGAAGAGATTCATAAATATTTACAAAGATAATTTTAAAATGAAAAATATATATATATATATACACATTTTCTTTCAGATCTCTAGATGTTACATTAAGCCAGTATTTTCCAAAGTAATTTCAGTTCCATATTGATGCTGTAGATATTAAGCATTTAGATATTAAGCATTTAGATACCTGTAGATATTATTTATAATAAATTTAGAAAATGCTATATTATATAACAAACCACCTGACAGCTCTCCTTGGAGTTTGAAATTAGTATATCTAAAAGTTCAACTTAATCTTGCAGTGAATAAAATGGTTTAAATTCCTTTAACTCAGTGCTTATAAAAACCCTTATTATCATTACACCATAAAACATATATCAAACTGTTTTCTACTAAATAAATATTAGGAAATACTTTATTAGGTTATAAGACCATAAAAATACTGTAAAAGAGACCTAGTCATACTGAATCTTTTAATGTATACTTTGAGATCATCTATGCAGTAAAATTAGTTGACAATGAGTTAATCTTTCATTTCACAAGATTTAAAATTTCATTAGAGCAGATACTAGATCTTATCTTTACAAGTGCTTTCAAAGTGCTCTACATTTAGTTGTCTCTTTAAAATATTTGTAAATAAATGAGTGATATATTTTCTCCCTTTTAAAATGCTTTTCTACACTCCCACAAAAAAAAAAGCTTGCTTTTAAGTCATGACATTATTGAGGAACTGACATTTTGAAACCTCTTTCACTTATTATTTATCTTAAAATGCTTGGAATTCTTCAATGTTCTTTCTGAGAAAATTTGTTCATGGTAATAGTGAAAATATGAGCATACAAACAGAAAGCACTGCTAGAGTGAAAATAATAATGGATCTCAGAAATATGTAGTTTTTGTTATTATTCTATCTTTTAAAAATACAAGTAGAAATTTACTTTGGATATTTCTTTTGTTATTTTTATTATTTTTATGAAATAATTGTACACATGTTTGTGGTTTAATGATTCCTCAACTTGGTCTATTATGCCTGGCCACCATTACTATTATTACTTGCAATCATTTTCAGTTGTAATGCCTTACTGATAACTGTGGCATTATAAATATAATTTACAGATTTGTGGAATCTGAGTCAAATATATTATTTTCTCAAATATATTAATTTAAAATTATTTAAGAAAACAGAAAAGTACTCTGATGATAACTGTACATATTAAAAAGTATTTAAAAATTTTTCTAAAACATTTCTTGTATATGCTTTAAAATTATCTGAAAAATGCACTCAAGCACATATTCTGGGTCAAACAACATCATAAAGAGTAAGCACATCACTCATTGATGTACTTATTGAAAGCATACAGTTTCAAAGATGAACAGAAAAAAAACTTAAATAGATAAAAATATTTTCATATAATGAATCTCAGGATGATTTTAATTAATCTGGAGATCTCTTATATTTTTAAAGGTCACTTGAATAATATTACACTAATATTACATATTAATGATTATTATAAAGTACTAATGTTAATTCATCAATTCAAGTTATAAAAAAGAGTTGTTTTAGATATTTTAAAGAGATTTGCATATCATGAATTTGCAAGGAGAGTGCCAAACTATATTTCAAGCATTGTTTTAAAAAATTCTGGCTCAGAGAGGTAAAGTGACTCATTCAAATTTTCCTAGCAATTAGTGATCAAGCTAGACCTGTGGTACGTGATCTCTGAATATT